CTTACTTTCCAAGTACTGGGGAAAAGGGACCAAGGCATGGGCATCAAATCCTAATTAATTTAGAGTGGGCCCATTTAACTCTCTGGGGAGTGCCTGAGAAGTGATTTTTACAAATGCTGCTAAACCAATAAATTGGTGCTTCCTAACTGCCAGATCCCCAAACCGGGAGAGATTATGTCTAGTCTAGGACCTGGAGCCTGCATGAGGAACCTGCCACGAGGAGGGATGGGTCAGAGGGCAAGGGCATCTGCTAAGGGATACCAGAGAAAGACATCTGGAGAGGGGAGTATTCAGGGCCCCTAGCACTTACTAGGCAAAGAGAGTCCATGAGCCGACTCCCAATACCAATTCTCTGGACAGACAGACTCTATTGATCTTGAGGACAGAGTTGGGTTCCCTGGGCAGCAGACTGTGAGATAAAGATTAGCATGTGATGTGGTACTGGGGGTGTTCTCTGGTTCAACACCTATGGAGGAAGGGAAGGAAGCAGTCCTGGTCAGAGGGAGAAAGTGGGGTGCAAAGTCATCTCCACAAAGGCCTGACCCCACAGAGTTCTGAAGCTGGGATGATGGCCTTTTGAGTTGTCCTGAATTGGGGTGGGGGGACCAGGCCTTTATATGCTGGCTTCAGCAAGTCACTGGGTGCATGCCCCAGAGAGGAAGGTGTTACCTCGGGCGAGGAAGCTCCATCACATGAGGGCAATTCCTAGAGGACTGATAACTGAGGGCTGTCAGCCAACAACACTCCAAGTACCTAGGAACAAGAAGCTCTTCAGTCATGAAGGTGGACCTGCAATGGCATATCATGGTGTCCACTATTCCTTCTGTTTACTACTCAGATCCACTTCTTGTGTAAGTTTTGGGAGCAGCTTGATTTTTCTGCAGGAAGCTGATGGTTCATGGGATAAGCCACATTTCCCACAACAGCTGGTCTTGAAGCCCCAACTAGATAACATCATCTTCCTCTTCTATGCATTTTCGATGCTTCTCACCCCCAGGAAGCACTTATGCTGAGTGCCTAGTCACCGTGTTCTTTTCTGGCCATAGTTGCTGCACTTCTCTATTTACTCTCAACATTGAGCAATGGTGTAACAAAGACACAGCCAGCTGGACTGTCTGGGTGCTAACAAAGTATCTTCCTCTTTGCTCCCATTGTGTAACTGTAGCCCTGGCTCTTCCTGATAATCAGGGTCAATTACTGCTGCTAGGATGGTGACGCCTGCTCCTTGCCTGCTGGTCCCTTGGCATAAGGAGCTCAAAGTGTCTGGTGGCACCTGAAGGTTAAAGTTCAATAGGATTTTTGTTATAGCCCCTGATGAAAATACTTCCATTTTGGGAACCAGGGCCTCAAAACCCTCAAAGTTCACAGGTGCAGTGAGAAATACCCAATGGGATCACTGGGCTTAATGGTACGTGAAGCCACTCCTACTTCCACCACTTGCTTCTGGACCTATCTGTTCTTATTGGGACATAGCACCATACTGACTGTTGACAGAGTGTACATGGTGTCATGGAAGGTGGTACCCTATCCTTAGTTGGTATCATCTCTGTGCTGGGACCTCAGCTATGCCTTTACAGTCTACTCCTTCTGTTCATGCTGGCATCTGGATGGTATAGAATGTGATAAGGCCAGTGGATCCCGTGGTCACGTGCCACGGTCATGCCTCCTTTGCTGTGCAATGGGTCCTTTGGTCTGATGCACTGTTTTATGGGATCCTATGTCAATAGGTCAGACATTCAGTAACACTCAAAAGATACTGGTGCTGGCTGAGACCCTGCAGGCAGAAAAAAGCAAACACCCAGAATGTAGCAATTTCAGTCAAAATAAATTGTTGCCTTTTCCAGGATGGAGAGTATCCAACGCAGTCAACTTGTCATCCAGCCTGGTTGCTCTCCTTGAGGAATATTGCCATTTGGGGGGCTCAGCATTGGATTAATTGCTGGTAGTTTGGGCATTCAGCAGTGGCCTCAGCTTTTGTGAGTGGAGCCTATGTTCTTGGATCCATGTATTACTCCCATTCCTGCTACCATGGCTGCTCCATTCACATACCCATTGTGCTGGTACTGAGGTGGCTGATAGCATCTGGGGGCCATCAACTGGCAAGTTATTCTTCCTACTTGTTCTTTAGGGCCTCTTTCTGGGTAGATACTCTCTGCAGGGCATCTGTACACTTCTTGTCTACTCAGAGTCCACCTATATACTCCTCTCTCTCCCAGACCTTTTGTTTTTTTTTAAGTTTATTTTTGACAGAGACAAAGACAGCATGAGTGGGGAGGGGCAGAGAGCAGAGACAGAGAATCCCAAGCAGGCTTCATGCTACCAGTGCAGGGCCCAATGTGGGGCTTGACTCACAAAACCGTGAGATCACGACCTGAACAAAAACCAAGAGTCGGACATGTAATCGACTGAGCCACCCAGGCACCCTTCTCCCAGACCTTCTTGTCCTTTTTTTTCATGTGCACTTATTTTTGAGAGAGAGCAAGTGAGCGCATGTGGGGGTGGGGGGAGGGTAGAGAAAGATGGCGACACAGAATCTGAAGCAGGCTCTAGACTCTGAGCTGTCAGCACATAGCCTGATGCAGGGCTCAAACTCATGAGCTGTGAGATCATGATCGGATGCTCAGCTGACTGTGCCACCCAGGTGCCCCTTTTTGTCTATCTTTCTTTCTCCTGCCAGGTCCCCAGGTCCCCAGTCAACCAGCCAAATCAACTGCCAGTGCTGTGAGTCCATATATATTTTAACTACTGCTACATTTCCACACAAAGTGAATGGCCAGATGCACCACTGAGGATTTATCCTTTGGGAGAATTTTCCCGGCCACTGTCTTTCAGGATCACCTCAGGGTGGGGCTATAGTACAGACACCGTTCATTTTCTACTTGTATCCACGTACCATTCAGACCTATCAGCATATTAAATTTTGCTTTTTTTCCTTGTTAGCTGATCAAAGGGACCTCACTTCCTATGTAACCATAGGTATGAGTTGAGGGCAGAGGCGCTGGTGCAAAAACGGTAAGTGACATGAATGTCTAGGTCATCTGCTGGTAGAGTTTACTTGTGCCCCTGATCCTGTCCATACCCAATTCTGGATGTACTACTTCTGTCCTGCTATGAATCATTGCTGGGCCTATTTAACTTTATGTTTTAGTAGGTCTAAAGGGCAGAACCTAACTTACACAAGAAAAGCTCATGATGAAGAATTTGGGGCCAACAAAAGTATACAAAGGGAATAGTTTTTCAACTTGTTCTGGGGATACACAAGCAAAAAGTTTGTGGATAATGGATTGGAAGGGAGGTCAGGCTAGAGAATACTGTTAGGGCCTCAACAGAAAAGTAGAAGAGAGAATGGTGTAGAAGAAATTGATCTATAAAATTCTAAAGTGGAAGAACTGGTAAGTTGGTACAGAAATGGAGACAGCAAGCATATTTATGCCATCCTTTTAAAAAACAAAATCACAGCTGTGAAAGGAAGGAGAGAGGTGGTCTCTGAAAAGAGGATGAGTTAAAGGTCTCTTTTTCTCAAAGCTTTTTTGAAGATGGACTTATGTTTATGTACTGAAGGAAGAAGCAGTAGAGATGGAGAACAATGGCTAGATTTGAGGGTTAGAGGGGCTCAGCTGAAGTTCTTGAGAACTCATTTTGATAAACAAAACAAAAACAGAAAAGAAAAAAAAAAAAAAAAACCAACCAAAAAAGCAGAAGTGCTAAGCTTTTAATCAAGGGAGCAAGACAGTAGGAGAGTCCAACCTCTCTCCACACAGCCCCCTCCTGGCCATCACTGGGAAAATCCTGACTCAAAGTTTCAAATACTATTTTCTGTTATATACCCATTTCTCCTTACCTGCTTTCCGGGGAAAATAAATATCAATACCAATCCCCGGAGTAAAAGCAGACAGTCTGGATAGGGTAGATCTAAACTTCAGCTTCCAGTAAAGTTTGATTTTTTTTCTCTTTTTAGAGAAACATTTTTTATTAATCTCTACAACGGTTCAAATAGGTACCGTAAGAGTAAAATTTCTAAATGCATTGTCTTGGAATGAGCACAACCCCTTTTGTAGCAAGACGTCCTTTTACATATTTTTTCTCGTCCCTAAGGTACCTGTAAGAAAAAAAAAAAAAGGAAATAATTTAGTGTAAGGCTTTCCTACTGGACATCCAACAGTTGTATTAATGAGATGGGTACAGATTAGTAATTTGATGGCTTTCGAGATCGTTTAGCCAGGGTGTTCACGGGTGGTGCAAAGTAGGTTTTAGGAGACCTGTTTACCTTCTCACGCTAACATCTTTGAGTCAAAGAGAGTGGGACAGCTACTACGCGAACTAGGGCATCTGTCCCAAGTAACTCCATTCTGCTGCCCTTTTACCAAAAGGTTTTTCAATTTCCAGACTGTGACAGGCCACCTGCCCACGTAGCTCTCTGGAAAGTGTCCTAGGCTCTAAGGATGCCACATCGGCCCATTCTAGCGACGTGGGGTTCAGAGAGAAGATGAGTGCTACGACTCCGACCCTCGGAGACCATCCCAGTACCTTTGGTTATTAAAAGCGCTTCCGGGAGAGGCCAGCCGGAGAGATCGAAGAAGGTACTGATGGCAGCTGCTTCTAGGCCTCAGCAAGGTCTCCATTCACCAAAGGAGTCTACACCGTCCCGCCCTCTCCCCACCCGAACCTGGACACCCCCAACGTCCCGCAGAGGCAATACCAAGACCCCATTCCACCCAAGATTCAAAGTAGTGAAACAGGAGACGCTCCCCCGCCTCTCAAACCAATTGAGCACTGCGCAGGACTCTGACACCTGGTCGCGCCACCCCGCGGGGTGGGGTCTTTTGGTCGGAATATGGCGGCTGCGGCGGGGTCTACGGGTCACTCTCCGAGGCGCCCTTGACTGGCTCTCCGACGCGCCACCTACCTTGCTAGCTAGGGGCCCGGCGCGCTACGCGAAGGGGCGGGAAGGAGCGCTGACGAGCACTGGGCAGCGCCAATCAGCACCGAGGAGTCCGGACCGCGCCCAATCAGGAGCCGGGTGGCCACGAAGGGGGTAGGTTGCAGGCGAGCAGCGCATGTGGCGGACGCCGAGCGCTCGGGACCTCACCTGCTGCTGCGACTGAGCCGCCCACCTCGCTGCTTCCCGAGCGCTGCACATCAGGGCCCCGGTGCCGGCTTGACGACGCCAAGGAAGCAGGGAGCCAACAACGCTGACCGGCTGTTGGCCTGCCGCGTTCGCGGCCTGAGCCCAGGAAGGCCTCTTGCAGAGGTTGCGGGGCCACCCCCGCGACTGTGCCATGACCGACTCTCTCCGCAAAGGGGACTCTTCCTCAACGTTTACTGCAGAGAGAGATGTAAAGCCTGTTAGACCGTGAGACGAGCTCGGGGCCGACCGACTAGGGGCACTCGCGGCAGGCCGCCCGCGCCTTCCCGGACCCGTTCTTTCTGCCCTGAGAGGGAGGCCTAGTTCGCCTCCGGGCGCGCAGCGGGCGCCGAGGGGTGGGGCAAGAGGGTCTGGGCGGGGCGCGCGTCGGCGGCATGTTCCTGCGGAGGCCGCTGGCCCTGGCCGCCTGGCTAGCGGGCGCGGCGGCGGCGGGACGCGCGGGGGCGCGGGGCGGGGGCCTGCTAGCCCTGCTGGCCAATCAGTGCCGCTTCGTGACGGGCCTGCGTGTGCGGCGCGCGCAGCAGATCGCGCAGCTGTACGGCCGCCTCTACTCGGAGACCTCGCGCCGCGTCCTTCTCGGCCGCCTCTGGCGCCGGCTGCGCGGCCGCCCCGGCCATGCCTCTGCCTTGATGGCGGCGCTCGCTGGCGCGTTCGTGTGGGACGAGGAGAGGATCCAGGAGGAGGAGTTGCAGAGGTGAGTCCGGAGACGAGGTCGTTCGGTCCGGTTCGCTGGCGCGGGTCAGATTGGGAGATCGGCGCGTCGATCCTCGGGGCCTGCCTTTTCGGTCAGTGTGTCCGGTTTACCCGGTGGTACTTGAAGTGACGATGCAGTAACTCGATCCTGTTTTAGCACACCATGTTTTTTTTATTGTCTTTCTGTGCTAATTTCATTTGTCTGGCTAGAAATAACGAAATGCAGATTGGTGTAGGTGGGAAGACTTTGAATAGGGAGCATCACGCCGAAGAAATAACGTTGTAAAAAACAAATTAGGTCTTGAGGCATGTAACCCATTGGTTCACGTAATCTTTAATTCTTCCAAAAAGGTGCAAATTCAATGCAGGTTTCAAATTTGACCTAAGGATATGTAATTTACAAAATTACTGCATTCCAAATGGGATTTCGTGAGAAATGCCAGGAGAGCTCTTTTGCTGCTGTGACAGAATTATGAGGCTGGAAAGGCTTTTGGCTTCTCAAACCAGTAGCCCAGCCATTGTAACCTGCAAAAATTAGGTCAGTTTTTTGCTGCTTTAACTACAACTTAGGGAATAGTGTTTCATTAGGCTCTGAAGTTATGCTGTCATCATCATCAAAATTTCTGGGTGAAAAATGCAGTACCATTGGTTGAATTTGATAATCTGTGGTTCTGAATCTTAATCCTTATAGTTTTCAACTAATTTCATGGGAAGCCTTGATTTAGTTCTTGCTTTACAGTATCTTTGTGTTTTCTTTTTTTAGTAAACTTTTTTTTTAAGTTTATTTATTTCGAGAGAGAGCATAAGTGGGAGAGGAACAGAAAAAGGGAGAGAGAGGGAGAGAATCCCAAGCAGGATCCGAAGTGTCAGTGCAGAGCCCACAACTGTGAGATAATGACCTGAGCCGAAATCAGAGTCCAGATGCTTAACCAACTGACCCACGCAGGCGCCCCTCTGTATTTTCCTTTTAACAGATATCCCCTCTCTCCCTCCACCCCCTAAATTTTTGTTTCCCTGTAAATTTTTACAAAATTAGGTGGTTGGCCCTAGGCTATGGTTTTTGATCCCTGCATTACTATGATATACATATAGAAAACTTACTAGTTAGTAAATATCCACCTTGAGGATATAAATGCAATTGAAAATCTTAATCTTATTCACAAAAATGTTAAGATACCAAAGCATGATAGGTTGCTTGCCTAGTTTCTGTTAGTTTTCTTGTGCAACTTCTCAGTCTCAGGTATGGGAAATAAAAAGACTTATGGGAGGAAAACCTTTGTATTAAGAAATTATCAATTAACTGTTTGAATTTTCGTTTTCTTTTTGATGATGAAATACCCATGTTCCCCAGTAGTCAAGTTTGAGAGGAAAATTCCCAGTTGGATCTATTTAGGAAAGACAAGAAAACCAGAAAAGGGCTACCTGGTGCAAAAGAGAGGGAGATGTTCTGGGATGGGAATTGAATAGCATTGGGAGCCTGGGTGGTAGATGACGTTCTTTGGCTTATTTCATGTGTTTTTATGGACAGTCTGTCCTGGAGCCTTTGTTTAGTAGGCCTCCCATTAGCAGGAGCTAGAGAGGAAAACAAGATAAAAAATGCATGTGGTAAACATTTGAGTCCGTAGTCACTACCCACTGTAGCAGAAAGAGACCAGTTGATGGCCAGGCCCTGTATTTGTACCATTTCCCTTCTCTTTGAGCTGTCTGTGAAACCCGGGGGCATTTGAAACACTCTTGGTTCTAATCCAGCTCCTGAAGAGGTATTGCCCTCTGTTAACCGGGTACTCGCGAATTTCATAAGCTTAGATGAAGGCCAGTCAGAACACTTAAGGTCCTTTCTGATTCTCCAGAGTTGTTCTAGTAAAGACCTTCGTTTAACAATTTGTTTTCTAGTTCATGCTTGAATTCAGTCATATACCTAAAATTTGATGAAGGTGTCCATTTTGAGAACTAAAAAAAAACGTTTGTTACCTTGCTAGGGAGACGAATAGTAACGCTGTTCAACTATATGCCGATTGTACGGTGGTTCTATAGGTTTCTTATGTTTCTAATATCTTGTCATATATTTTATTTAATAAAATATTCTGGGTTCAGGTGAACATTTTTTGTTTGTCGTTTAAGTATTTTATTTGCTTTAAAGGAGGCACTGCTGAGGTTCTTATAGCTAGTTTGGAACATCTTAGATTTTGTTTGTTCTAGTGAAATGATTTTGGGTGGCTTCCATAATGGAGCGCGGTTGAATGTGCCTCAGGACAAGTGCATTTTTTTCATTGTTAATGGAAGAAGAGCATGATTGTCCCATGGCCCCTAAATCACAGCATTTGGTTCTTCTGTGCTGTTTTTGTACCAACTTGTGCTGGTACTCTTTGAATGTATGCTTTAAACATGGCATGTGTTTTTTCTTATGTTACTTGAGTCTCCGTTCAGAATGAAAAGGAATAACCTGGCTTTCAATTCTTCTATGCTTGAGAACATCTTAACAAATAGAATCTCATTTATTTAGCAACAGCAAGAAAATTTGAGACATGGAGTAACGTGTACAAAGTGACTCTGGCACACTGATGGGCACCAGGTGTAGAAATCAGGTCTTTTAATGCTTGGCCTAGTATTCTTACCCAGTGGCTTCAATTAAACAAATCAAACAAAATAACTTTCAATCATTGTTTTTGGTACTAGCTGGCATTCTGTGAGCCCAGGACAGATCTTATGGAAAAATACAGTAGTAATTTTTTATTGCTTTGGAACATTAAAAAAAAAATTACAAGAACAAAAGGAGGAAGGAAGTTAAGAAATATGAAAGGCTAGGGGAAAATGTTCTATTAACCCCTCCTCCTGTTAAAAAAGTTACAGTCCATTGCTCCAGAAATTTGAGTAAATAAGTGCCAGTAAATTTCATAAAGAAATTGTTTAGTTTCCCGCTTTTATCTCAGGGCATTTAGAATAATTGTAACTTTTGTTACATTGTTTTGTGTATTATTAATTAGATAAATGACCAACGAAAGGTCCTTCATCTTTTTTGCCACTGTCACTTGATTTTTTGCTGGCATACCCTTCTTAGATCATCAGAACTACATTAAACCTGACTTGAAATTTTTTTTTTTTAATTTTTTTTTTTTCAACGTTTATTTATTTTTGGGACAGAGAGAGACAGAGCATGAACGGGGGAGGGGCAGAGAGAGAGAGACACAGAATCGGAAACAGGCTCCAGGCTCTGAGCCATCAGCCCAGAGCCCGACGTGGGGCTCGAACTCACAGACCGTGAGATCGTGACCTGGCTGAAGTCGGACGCTTAACCGACTGCGCCACCCAGGCGCCCCATGACTTGAAATTTTTTACATTGTCTTCATTATTTTACCGTTAACCAGTTGGCCCAGAATTGCAGTGAGCTAGCTGATGTTTTGTTATTTGTAGATGTGTTGTCTCGTAACAGTTGTACTTGAAAGTTTCTAACTTTGACCGTAATTTGTAATTTAAGGAAGGGATTATGTGAATTGAGGCAGTTGTTTTACTGAAATTACTAATTTCGGGATGGCTTTATTTGAATCATTTTGGGCCCTTATATCAAACCCTATACTGGGGCAGGACTTACATGGCCAAACCTGGTTGTACTTATTACTCTGTTTTAATAGTTTTATGTCTTCATTTTCTTTCTATACCTCTCAATCCATATTGAAATGACTTTAGTTTTGGAGAAAGGTAAGCACTGGCTGTCTTTTTCTTAATCCTTTTACTAATCTGCTGGTTCTGTTACTATTTTGGGAATAATCTCTTTTGTCCTTTCTTCTTATTACCTGTTTAAGTCTCTTAGATAACAAGGTTTAGGCACTCACCCTGTCCAAACAGGATTTGGCACAGCAGGCTAAAGAGATGTATGGCGAGAGGTTTTCCTTCCTCCACATACAGGATAGTGACTGACTTTGAACACCTGTGTGCTGCTAATGATGTCTGTCATGTCAGCATTTAGAAGTTGAGACCCTTCAGGGGCGCCTAGGTGTCTCAGTCCGTTAAGCGACTGACTTTGGCTCAGGTCATGATCTCACAGTTTGTGGGTTTGGGCCCCACATCGAGCTCTGGCTCAGAGCCTGTAGCCTGCTTCTGATTCTGTGTCTTCCTCTCTCTCTGCCCTTCCCTCTGCTTGCAGTCTGCCTCTCTCTCTCAAAAATAAATAAACATTAAAAAAAAAAAAAGAAGAAGTTGAGACCCTTCACATATTGTTGAATCTGTGGACAAGAATCATTTGCATTTTCATGTCACAGTCTTGTGCCAGCATTCAGATTGTGCTATTTCAAGTATGAATGTCAGGCCTTCACAAGACATTTCTCTCCCCCTCTGGGGACTTGGTCTCATAATTTTAATCAAGGTCACCTAGTGGCCTTTAATTATATAGGAGAGGTTGATAAAGCAATGGGTCAGAAGCTCTGTACCACCTTAGAAGGCCATTAAAAGTATTGCCTATAGTCATATAATTTTCTTAAAACCTTACTATGTAATTTTATGAGCCTCTGATGAAGTTTTAATAAGACATTCCTCCCCTTCTTCATTATGTGATAAGAATGACATTCAAGGGTGGTACTTAATTTTTACTGAAGAATGCTCTACTGTCCTGAAAAGTGTCATAATTGGTGCTGTGTGATGCCTGAATTGTTCTCTGAGCCAGTCTGGTTCTGGTTTTGCTTTTGCTTTTTTCTCTGAAAGATCTTACTGTGTAAAGTTCCTTTCCTATTTCTATATGTGTTTGTAGTGGTAGCAGTGAATCCTGTTTTGCAATTTTTAATTCAAATTAAAACTTTTTAAAAATGGTTAATCTTTTTTCATCAGAACATCAGTATAAATTGTACTGGCTAGGGTTCTTGGTTGCAAACAGAGGTGATATTGGTTAACTTAAGCCAAAGGGATTAATCAGAAAGATGTTAGGTCACTCAGGGCATTGACAAGAAGACCAGAGTACAGGTTGGCCAAGAGAACAGCCAAGACTTGCCGTAGGAATAATCAATCTCCTTA